TATATATATATATATATATATATTTATATTTATATTTATATTTGTATATACACCAACCGGAAAAGAGACTATAAAGACATGATTCGACCATTCTTTCGATTATTTCGACCACCAAGACAATCAAGTAGCACTAACCCTGATCAAGGTAATAGGCGCAAACTAATATATTGCACACTTGCATTAGTCTTATTCAGTTCGATAATCAAGACAACCCAAACATCATATTATATACATGATTATTGCCTTATGTTTCGACATTGTGGATGATTTAGGTAGTAAAAATGGTATATGATAATTATTCCACATGCACTTACCTTGTTTGTGATAGTTTTGACGCTCTCAACTATTGAAATAATCGAGGTAGCCAACATGATCATATTGTGAAACCCTCATAAGATGAATTAACTAACTAATAAAGGGAGTATAACAAATTAGGAGGCTAATTCATCATTGACAACCATATTACTTAATTGGTAATTAGAAATCAAAGCCCATGGAATTCAAACCCATTATAATTAATATAAATATAATTAGTTATACAAATCGATGTAAAATGACTATTATTTTATATCACTCACCTATATATTTTAATCTGTTTTGACTTAAGTGTCATAATGTCTTTTGCATGTACTTCACTCCTCAAAATTATTAGCAAGCAAAGAGTTTAGTGTGTCTATCGCGAGAGATTCACTAATACTCTCATACAAGTAAAAAACACACACACATGTATGTGCATGTATGTATGTATATATAGAGAGATCTATTTATTATAAAAATAAATTTATCTAAACTTACTCATGTTTTACATTAATTCAAACTTTAAATTTAAAATTTTTAATATAAAGGCCAAGTTTATAATTTTTTAAAATTTTTAAAATTCATTAATATTTCATTTCATTAATTCAAATTATCAGATAATCATAAAAATATTTTATATACAAATTTGATAAATAATTATAAAAATTATTCGATACTTCATTTAATTAATTCAATTTAAGGAATAATTATAAAAGTATCATAAATAATAAATTATATAAAAAATTTACACCCCACGAAAATCAAACTCATTTTCTTTTTTATACATTTGCGTTACAAATGAAGTAAATCTTAAGTAAAGTATGATAATATTATTAAATAAAATCTTAATATTCGTTTTTTTTTATAACAGAAAATAAAAGTTTATCGTAGGGCTAACTTCCCCCGATTAAAAGCTAAGATGCAATCAGTGTGAACAACAAAGTATAATAAAATAATCACCCGGAAGAATCAATTCAAAACTTTTCAATAGAAAACAATTTCATCCACAAACCATGAAGGAACCTCGTATAATCTTTCATAATCAAATGTATGTTATAAAGCAGAATGAATTTATCCTTCCAGCTTGTTTTTGCCTTTAAAAATTAAAATATATAATCAAAACATAGCATCTGTCTCGGGGCATCCTTACCCCTAAGAGAATAAATCGGGAAGAAAATAATAAATTTCGATTGTTTAACTGGACATAAAATGAGAATATAGTGAGCTTATTGAAAAATATGTCACCTTTAAAACCGTCGTTTCATTTATTTTCAGCTGCTTTTTCTTTTTATGCTTATCTTTCATGTATTCATACTATATATATATATAAATGGTTCTTTATTTTTTTAATATAATTTTTGAATTTTTTATCTTTAAATTTTCAAATAATAAAAATTAATATTACAGGTTAACTATTTTTTCAAATATAAAATTTTAAAATTTGAGAACTAATAGACACAACACTAATTGATTCAATAAATATTAATAATTTTTTAAATATTTTTAAATAAATATAAATACACGAAATATTAAATTCCATTAATATTTATAAAATAAATATATCTCCGATATTAACTTACTATTTGGTTTGAGGATTATGATAGTTAACTATGTTTCCTATTTAAATCGATTGTGATTTAGAAATTCTTTTTTATAAACTGTAATAAGATAATTTTAAAAAAATCTTTTTAATTTTTACATAAAATATACTCATAAAAAATTTGGTTGGCTTCATAAATGAGAGAACATGTCACTTAATTAAGTAATTAAAATTTAAATCTTAACTTTTAGAAACACAAAAAGAAAACTCACTTAATTAGTGTTTATCAAATTTCATGAGAAAGATTAGTTTATGTATTAAACAAAAGATATTTCTTAATAATGAATAAAAAATTAAAAAATAAATAACAACGACAAACGTAATTTTCAAACAACTAATATATCTTTTCTAGACATTAGTTAAGTAAGAAACAACTAGGTCGGTGAGAGTGATGAGTAATTTAAAAAATATATTAAAAATAATTTTATAAAAATAGTTAGTTATCGATAAAAAAACCAACAAATTTATGCATAATCTTATTTTAATTTTTGAAATATAATCAATTATATTATAAGTTATTTATTTAATAAAATAAAATAATTTGAAAAATATTATTAATAAAAAAATTTACATGTATAGATAATTAATTCTTATTGTTTTGTGGATAGTGATTCATTAATTTTCAATACACAAAAGCATCATTTCTCGTGTTCACGTCGTTCCCCCTCCTATAAAAGAACAAAACAGAGGTGGAGAGGTAGAGAAAGTTGGAAGCAAAGCAGAAAAACCAAGAATGGCACCCATTGACCCGCACTCGTTCACAGACTCAAGCGACCCGCCAACGAGCCACATCGCACTGACCCTCTACCTGGACTTCCCATCCTCCACCATAAACGCCACGGCCCTCTTTACTCTCCACACCCCCCACACGGGCCCATTCTCCCTGGACACCCGCGGCCTCACTATCCACTCCGTCCACACCCCCCAAACCCAAACCCAAGCCCCAATCCCCTTCACCCTCTCACCGCCACACCCCATAAGTGGGTCCCACCTCACTCTCACCCTCTCCAACCACACCTCCTTCCTCATCACCTACACCACCTCCCCCTCCTCCTCCGCACTCCAATGGCTCCTCCCTCCCCAAACCTTCGCCAAGTCTCACCCTTTCGTCTACACCCAATGCCAAGCCATCCACGCCCGCTCCGTCTTCCCCTGCCAAGACACCCCCGCCGTCAGGATCCGCTACTCCGCTCTCCTCAACATCCCCTCCCACCTCTCCGCCGTCATGGCTGCGCGCCACGTCGATCGCCGCCCCCCGAGAAACGACGACGTCGCAACCGCCCTTTGGTGCTCCCAAGGGAGGGTCGTCGAGGAGTTTCTCATGGACCAGCCCGTTCCGCCTTACCTCTTCGCTTTCGCCGTTGGGGGCCTTGGGAACAGGGAGGTGGGGCCCAGGACTAGGGTTTACGCGGAGGATGTGCCGGAGGTGCTGGATTCCGCCGCGGCGGAGTTTGCCGGGACGGAGGAGATGATTAGAGAGGGAGAGAGGCTGTTTGGGCCGTATGAATGGGAGAGGTTTGATTTGCTGGTTCTGCCGCCGAGTTTTCCTTACGGGGGGATGGAGAATCCGAGGATGGTGTTCTTGACGCCCACTGTTGTTAAAGGGGATGCAACCGGGGCGCAGGTTGTGGCGCATGAACTTGCTCATAGTTGGACTGGGAACTTGATCACTAACAAGACTAATGAACACTTCTGGTTGAATGAGGTAATCTACTGCCTCTGTGTTTCTATACAAGCTAGAAGAGCTTTTGAATGCTTTTTTCTAGGATTTTTTTTAAGAGTTAATCACCCGTACACTTTTTACATTAGAACCAATTATATCTTTTAATAGTGTCACGTCAGTTTCTTATTTAATAAAATAATAATAAAATAAGTAACTTTAAAAGATATTATTAATAAACTTTACACTATAGATGATTAATTTTTTTTTAAAGAAAAAGCTCTTTTAAGTTTGTATCCAAACAGACTAAAAAAAATCACTTTTATATACCATGATTTTAATTTAGGTAGATATTTATATGTTGGAGAATTTAGTCTAGGTCCAGATTCCCATAATTGATTTTCGTATTCGCAAATAAAATTACACTAGATTTTACTATTAACTTGCATTTAGAATCTTTACCTCAAAATTAATTTTGCAAATGTTCAGCTAAGCATACACATAATAATATTGCAGTACTTTTTGTTTGAGATATTATAAATATGGTCAAAATAGAGTATATAAGTGGATATTATACTCACCTTACGAAATGGTATTGTAAGATTGAGTTTGACACAAATCTATATTCTAAGATGGTATTATAGTCTATTTTAGGATGGTTAAAATAAAGTATAAAAGTGATTTGATAGTGATCGATGTTTTAAGTTATATCTTTTGTCTTATAAGTGTAATTTGTTGAGTTTCTCCTTCTACGATAATAAAGGTCATGACATGACAGGCTTATATTTGCAGTTCAGGTTTTAAGAGCATTGGTTGTTGTAAAGCATCACCATTTTGGTTTTTTTTTTTGGCAGTTTGCGTATTTGATATGTTGACCAGGAAGAATATTGTTTATGTGGTTTATTCTGAGCAAAGTTGAACTTGTGATCGTGAAATTATTGTTGACTGTGGTTTTAGGGCTTCACTACGTATGCGGAGAGGAGGATTGTGGAGGCTGTACAAGGAGAGCAAAGAGCCACGCTGAACATTGGAATTGGTTGGAGGGGTTTGAATGAGGACGTCGAGAGGTTCAAGGACAACTTGGAGTTTACAAAGCTAAAAAATAATCAGGAAGGAATTGACCCAGATGATGTGTATTCTCAGGTTCCATATGAGAAAGGTTTCCAATTCTTATGGCGCATTGAACGACAGGTATCCGAAATTGTTTGCTTTGTCTGATATGTAACAAGCTTGCTTTGCATCATATTCTGAATTAACTAAAAGTGATAATTGTTAAACTATGTTATTATGTGTTTGTACTCTTCATTTTTGGGTTGGAAAACATATGCATGTTTTGTTTGTTGTTTGGGAGTTAAGCTTGAACCTAATTTATTGGAATGGGGTGTATTTTTTCATTTGTTAATTTTCTTATGGATTGGGCAGGTTGGGAGGCCCGCATTTGATGAGTTTCTGAAGAAATATATTGATACATTCAAGTTCAAATCAATTGATACGGAAACATTCATTGACTTCCTTAAAGCCAACATCCCTGACATAGAGAACCAGATTGACCTTGTGCTGTGGACAGAAGGTACTGGCATTCCTCCTGATGCTTATGAACCTGATTCCAGTAGTTATAAAATGATTGTATCACTGGCAAATGAGTTCATAAATGGGAGGATGCCGAGGGAGGATGAAGTTGCTGATTGGCAAGGTCAGGAGTGGGAGCTCTACTTGGACAACTTGCCAAAATCCATTGAAGCTTCTCAGGTTAATACTGTTTTTTCAATTTCCTAGCGGCCTTTTCCTCCCTTCTTTGTTAACTTGATTAAGATGAACTTCTTATTCTCGTATGGAATATAGCGTTTTAATGTTTTGTTCAAAATAACCCTAAACCCTCCTCCACTTGATTATTGTGTCTTTCCTTTCCTATCACCCCCCTCACATCTCCTTCCCCTTTTAGGATTCTGGTATTGGCAATTAGATTATTGTAATGAATCCTGTGATTTCTTTCTGCAATGCTCATTTATTAGAATATAGTCCATCAATGGAAATTTGTCTGCTCTTGCTTGCACATAATATCCATTTTGGATCATTCGTGTGACTTTTGTCATTTCCTAGCTGGTTTCAGGTGTTGAAAATGAATTTCTTTCTGGTATTTTGATTTGGTATTGACTTGCTTGATGTGTGAATGTTTATGGTCTCTTTGTATTGCTTTATCAGTTGAATATTAAATGAAATGTTTCCTAGATGGATAGAAGTGATTATGGCTGGATAAAACATATATATGGAAAATCTTTTAGACTACCTTTAATTTAGGTCCTATGACTTGGCTAGTTTCTCTGTACATATCTATTCGATTCAATAGGATAGCCCCCCGCTTTAATTTAGGCTTTTTCTGCAGCCTATAACTTGCAGACAAGTACTTCATTCACAACTCTACTAAAATTCAAGCCCATTTAACCGTGCTTATTTACAAAGCTCTTGTGTAGTATACCTTCTCTTTTCTAGTTGGAGAAAGACAACCCATGTGTTAATATTAGGTGAAACTCAAATGTCACACGCATCATTTCACATATATTACCTGTTTACTGTCTGCTCCATCATAATTATTAAGTTGTATAATACATGTCATGCAGATCATAGCATTGGATTCACGCTACAAATTATCTGAGTCAAAAGATTATGAGGTAAAGGTGTCATTTCTCCAAAGGGCTATTTCATGTGGATGCAAAGATTACTATAATGAAGTGGAGAAAACCTTAAAAGGAGTTGGGAGGATGAAGTATCTTCGTCCACTTTACACTGCTCTTGTGAAAGGCAGTGGGAAGGAAGATGATAAAGTATTTGCCAAAAGGCTATTTTCAGAGGCTCGTGAGTGTTACCATCCAATTGCTCAAGGTGTTGTTGAGGCCATATTTGCTAAGCATCTGTAGAAGGAAAATTTCTCAGAATGTTTTATGTATTTGAACGTGCAAGATGTCTGAGTGTACTTTACAATAAATATAAGGTTTACTTTTATTCTGACACCCTCATAGCTGCTGCACCAGAAGTTTCTTCATGATTCTTCCTGTTAGAGCATCTCAGCTTTTGGTTTATAGGGTTACAAGAGTGAGATGTGAATTAATGATATAAAGATTTCCCCTGTAAGAATTTTTTCTACCGAGGAGGATATAAGAAATTTAGATGCAACTTACTCGGACGGCTTTTGCTTGTGTTTACTCTTGAGGGTTAACTCAATGTTCATTATATTATGGAATTTTTGTCGGGATATTTCTAATTTTATTTCTTAAAATAACATTTTTAATAATATATTATTGCCATATTATATGTGTATATATATATATATATATATACAAGGAGGGATCTATTTATTCTTGGTAGATTTACTATGTTCGATAATTCATATTTTACGTAGAATTTTAATGATTCAATTGTTGAATTTAAAGTTTTTAATATATAAATTTAAGTTTGCAAATGTTTAAAAAATTTGAAAAATTATTTGATATTTTGTTTTATTAATTTAAATCAACGTATAAAATAATTTTATAATTATCTGTCAATTTGAATTAATAAAATAAAGTATTAAATATTTTTAAATTTTTTAAAAATTTATAAATTTGATCTATGTATTAAAAACTTTAAATTCAACAGTTGGATCGTTAAAATTTTATGTAGGATATGAATTATTAAACTAAATAAATTTATCTAAACTTATTCTTAAAATAAATAGATTCTAATATATATATATATATATATATATATATACACAATATATGA